GGGGTCGACCTATAACCGGGGTCGACTTACAACCGGTAAAATACGGTACTTCCTCACAGTTGTTTACGTAAACCAGAAACAGGGTTGGACCCAAGATGCTGCCTTGGGAGACCCCAGCAAGCAAAGGGTATTCCGATGACTGTTGTCCTCCGACTATGGCACGTAGTTGCCGGCAGCAGAGGTAGTTTGAGAGCCAGCCAAGGAGCGGACCACTGATGCCGCATGCCTCTGTTTTATGGAGGACACCTCGATGCGAAACCTTGTCGAACGCCCCGGCGATGTCGATGGCCAGTACATGTACCATGCCGCCTCTCGCCGCAGTGGATAACCAGTCGTTGTGCAGCTTTGTTAGCAGATCTGATGTACTAAGTCCCTTCCGGAAGCCATATTGCCGAGACGAGATTACACTGTGCTTTGAGAAGAAGTTCATGATACAGCGGTTAACTATTGTTTCCATTGTCTTGGAGAGAATGCAGAGGAGAGACACCGGGCGATGGTTGCGCAGGTCTGATCTAGCTTTCTTCTTGTGAATCGAAACAACCTGGGCGACCTTCCACAGCCTCGGTTGCACTTGCTGCCGAAAGCACAAGGAGAACAGCCAGGCGACAGGCAAGCAGAGCTCACTGGCACAATTCTTCAGCACCCTTGCTGGAATCCTGTCAGGGCCTTTGGCTTTTGTGGGATTCAGTCTTCTGAGCTCTCTTCTGACAGTATCCGTTCGAAAGTGGATGGTAGTGAGCCGAGACTCGGTGTGAGGTGTTACAGGTGGCAGATCGTCTGATGGCAGATCGTTTGGAAAGTCATCTGCTGCGAGGCTGGACTTCGACGAAAAAAACGTGCCAAACCGCTCTGCTTTCTCGGACTTGGCCATAACTCGGACGCCGTTAGTGTCAACAAGAGTTGGTATGGTTGTGCTGAGCCCACTACCACCTGCTTGCTTCAGCGTGGATCACCACTCTCGATCAGACATGCTCCCACGTGAAAGTTTGTCTCCCAGCGTGGCAAGGCGTATTGCCTGCGCCTGGCGCAGATAGTGAGTGCCACGCCTGGTTGCCTCCAGGGCCTCCAGTCGTAGCTGCGGAGTTGGAGCCGTGCGGGAGTGTTTCCAAGCTTCCTGTTTTGCCTTCACCTTGGTTGAACACTCCAGTGTCCACCAAGGAGGGTCAGACGGGCTGGTTACCAGTTCACGAGATGGTATGAATTGCTTCATGCCTTGTTAAGGTTATTAATGATCTTGGTGACATTGTGACATGATTTGTTGGGACATTGACTGATGGCTGTGGTCCAGTCAGCTTGCCGATAAAAATGAGCAAGTTGAGGGCAGTCCGCTAGGTTCTAGCGCCAGACTACTCGCTTTGTGGGAGGTTCCTCCGATACTTTTGTGGGAAATTCAGCTATCAGAGTTACATGGTCCGAGGCGCCAAGGGGAGGTTTGCAATGGACTGTTACATCAGAAAGATAGTCAGACATAATCAGATCCAGTATATTGTCCCCTCGGGTCTTCATCGTAACATGTTGTTCCAGGCCGTGGCTAACACACATATCCTCAGCACATTCCCCTGCAGGAGTTGTTTTGTTGCTTCCTAACCACAAGCATTGAAGTCGCCAGCGACGATAATCTTCGACCCATGCTGCCTAAGGCGGTGTTTACATGAGGCGTTTCAACCCGGGTTGAGTTCGACCCGGGTCAGATTTCAACCCGCCATGTGCATAAAATGAATTGCGCGTTTACATGACGCATTGCGCTTGACCCGGGTTGAAATTTCGCCCCGGGTTGATTTCAACCCTCCCCCCAAGGGGAGGGTTGAAATCAACCCGGGTCAAGAAAATCGTACAAACGTACTTCTGTGCGTATCTCGCGCCAGGTTTGAACGGCACTGCAGATGCAAATTTCGCGCGAACGGATTCACGTGACCATACAGGACTGTAGAAGTGGACTTTTGGCGGCATATCAGTATTTGACCCGGGTCAACTGTCTTCATGTAAACGCTCACCTCTTTTGTCTATCGTACAGACTTTCAACCCGGGCTGAACTCGACCTGGGTTGAAATTTCTCATGTAAACACAGCCTAACTCTGTCAAGAGTTGCATCAAGGTGTTCGAAGAGTTTGGTGTCAGTGGCCAGACAGGACCCTGGCCTGTAGACAGCGCCAATGACAGTGTTCGTGTGGGGGGCCGTGGAGACAGACACCCAGACAATTTCGTGATCACAGTCGATGTCATGGAGGTGCTGAAAGGCAATGCCGTCCCTAATCCAGACCGCAACTCCTCCTCCATGAGCGATGCGGTCTCGACGAATGGGAGGGGCATATCCAGGTAGTGAGACTTCCGCCTAGGTGGCCTTGTCTGCAGTGAGCTTGGTCTCTGTCACGATAATAACATCAGGCTTCGAGATCTTCACTGCGTGCTGAAGCTCACCTAGCTTGGACAGCAATCCAAATGCATTAGTCATGTAAAGGCGAAGTCGGGAGATAGAAGGGCGGGGAACAAACACTGGTGCAGAGGGGTTAAGACGGGGAGAAGGTATGATGAAAAATAGATAGATAGTCAGGCTAATATGAACAGTAGAGAGAAAGATGACTAGTACTCACGCTCGCCAGCCAGGCTTCTGGTTGATGGCAGGGGAGTGCAAACGAGTTGGCTTGTTTCCTTGGACTTCCATTATTGACAAGAGTGAATCTGCCGTCGTGTTCTGGTGATATCGATTCCCGCTGGCGCTTGGATGGCTTCAGTGTATCAAAGAAAACTTTGTCGGCTCTTTCGGCTGCAGTGTTGTGATGCTGGTCTTCTGCATCCGCTTCTGAGCCGCTTGAATCATTGGGTTCAGCTGCTGGATTATGTGTATTGCCCACTTGGTGTAGGCACATTTTGTCATGCTGCCCAGGTATGAGACCTCCGTCAGAGGTGTTTGATGTGTGGGCCAGACGTGGTGGGGTTAGGCTGCTGTGGGGAGGGGGTGGTGGCTCCTCTCCTGTCTCCTCAACCCAGCTGCTGTGGGGGACAGAGCTAGAGTGAAATCGGGCTCACCTTCCGTGCCTCCTGCTGAGGCAGGTTCCGATTCCCCAGATGCATCCCTTTCCGCATCCGATCCTCCTACAGCAGATGAGTACGAGTACGGTTTTTCTGACCCCACGCCACTAGTACTGGCAAGCTGGCGGTTGGCTGTCGTACCAGAGCTCATAGGTGCGTTTTCCTGGGAATGATCATCCTGCTGCACATGCACTGATCCTGCAGCTGCAACCTCTTGACTATGCATACTTTGAGGGCTTGCTGCTGACCTGTTCACTTCAGTGCATCCCGTACTCGTTGACTGACTAGCTGGAGGTTTTCGGCGTGGGGAATCCCTTGCTTTATGGCCTGGTGCTGCGCAATGGAAGCATGTCTGGAGTTGCCCTTTGTACCAGATGCGTAGGGCGTCTGACCCACGCGAACAAGAGACGGAACTGACTTTCGCAATGTCACTTTCAAGAAGCTAGTACCAGTTTCAACGGAGAACCCTTTGTGCAGGATTTTTTCCTAGCAGGAGACCTGTGAATCGTTGCATACTGGCTTATGGCCGAAGACAATGCCCCGTCATGCAGGTAATACGGACAGCCAAACACATGCAAGCTAATGAGCTCGGTGTCTCCAATGACAATATCTACTGCCTTACCAGCAATTTTGAAAGAAGTGGACACAAGACGATCCCTGGCGGCGGCATGCTTGAGGGTGACAGTGCACCAGCCTGGTCTGCCATGCAGGTCCACTTGCTGGAGTTCGTCGGGCGTGACTCCATTACTAGCTAGTTCCTTTAATGAAAAATACATGATCGATCTCCCAAAGAGGATCAAGTTGAAAGGAAAAAGTGATGCAAGGCGCAGCTCCAAAAGTGCTCCCGCCCGCAATCATACTGATCAATCAATTACATAAGCAGCAAATGTAGTCGATCTATGGAAAGTCTTACCCACACGCCATGCCGATTTGTGTTCCGCCATATATAGTTTTCGAATGACATAGCTGCCCTTGGCAACTCGGAACGCGGCAGTGTACGACCGGGTCGACCTAGGGAGTGAGTAAAAAATTTGCACCCCAACACACTTACGGAGCACCTCCGTTATCAGAGTCCTACATACATACGCTACATACCGTAAGGTCTTGTATAGAAGTTGCACTTGAATAGAAGCCGCCCTCGAATAGAAGCCGCAATTTTGGGCCCATCCAATCACACATAAGCCTGGTTTTAGTGATGACATACATAGAAGTACATGTCTTGTAATGAAGCCTGTCTCATTAAAGAAGTCTGCAAAATTTCACAAGGAAAGTCATAGAAGCCGCGGCTTTTGTACAAGACTTTACGGTAGACAATTTTCCATAAGTTAGGTGCAAACTCGTGAGTTCAAGGGTTTTCCCGCCCACTAACGTAAGGTTGCTCAACTTCACGTAGTGCGGAACGTCTCTGATGACTTGCACATTAGGGGTCATCTGTAAATATTCCCTCAACCCTGGAACCTTTGGATCCGTTTCATTATGAAAAATTCATTAAATTCAAATTCGTTACTTGTAGTACTCCCCATTGATTTGTTTCCGTATTCTCTTTGTGCCTTGTTCATGATTGTATTTTCCTCTTCCTCCGTTTCTTATATGACCACCTTCATCATTTTGCGAGAACTGTGGCAATACGCCCAGTGAGAAGGCAGATTTTGCCTGTGCTTCTGGTGAAGTAAAATAAAGCTACACAAACAAATACTGATATTTACACGAAAGCTAGTCATTTCCCTTCAACCCCTCCCCCTCCCTGAGAAACGAACACATACATACCGCACATAGTATAGATTTTTTTCTTTTCTAGCTGGATGTGCCCACACATACAAACTGTGCATCGATGTTTTCCGAGAAACGAACAGGCGCTCACCCTGCGCCCCCTCCCCCTTAAACAACTACTTTTTGTTTCTAAATATAATGTTTACGAATGGCTCCTAATACTATTCTGTTGTCCACTGTATCACCATATCAGACAACAATGAATGTGCAGCAAAAACACATGGTTGTCATGCCGACGCTAACTGTAGCAACATCCCTGGTTCTTATGCATGTGCATGTTCAACTGGTTACCAAGGAAAAGGAACACATTGCTCAGGTAAGTCGTAATTTTATGACTTGCACACGTGACTGTTTCATCAATTTTGTGTACAGTCCAATAAAACCTGGTTTAAGCAACCTCTGGTTTCAGTGACCACCTGCTTTTAATGACCGCTTTTTTCATGCACAGACAGTTCTATACAGAAATAGCACTGGATACAGCGACCACCTACCTTACACGGCCATCAAACGACTTTTAGTGTACCAAGTGCCATATAGGACCTGCACACAGCGGCCCAAACCAGCCAAAAGTAGGGAGGTTTCGCTCTACGTAATTACGTATGAAAATCCGTATGTCGTACGCGCCAGGGAGCGAGGGCAACTTTCATACGTAAATCTCTCTAAGGATTTCTGTAGGAAAGCTCTTTCCTACGTTGGGTCCTCCGTAGGACTTTTTGAAATATTTTTCGCATTTTCTGCATTTGTCCATGGCAACATTCAAGCCGAGCGAAACACAAGGTACACACACCGTACACCACGCGTGCATAATATAATGGAGAACGCGGCTTCGGTTCATGGTGCATGCGGTGGGCACGTGCAGCCAACGCGTCTCCATAGCAACAACGCATGTTTAGCAGTCGTGGAGAAATCACGTAGAGCGAAACCCAACAGCTCTGATTTTTACGTATGAAAATTCCGTGCAGTTCATACGTTATTTTCATACGTAATTCCGTAGAGCGAAACCTCCCTAGTGTCATCTTCACTGGCAGGGTTGACGCAAACAGGGTTGAAGTGCGCTCTGACGCAAGTGCATGCAGTCAGCAGAAGTGACAAGTGAGAGTGCAGGATGCACTGCATGCACTTGAATGAGGTGTGCTTTGCCTGTAGGAAAGTCTTCTATTCTCCACGCCTGTCAATACGAGTGCATGGAAGTACAACCATGCACATGTACATGTATGTACAGGATCCGATATGCCTCGAATGTATGGGACCTGGTTCTAAAGACCACCTGGCTTTAACGACCGCTTTTGCTTGCACCGTGGGATGGTCACTTTAATATATTATTATTATTATTAGCACCATATCCCTCACACACTCATACTCAGCCCAAGGCAACAAGGAATTGTTTTGGAGATATAGTGTGCTGCTTCGAGTAACTGGTCTTGTAATGCAAAAGCTCGAAGAGCTGGAAAGCAATGCCAGGCCACTGGCAGCAACTGGCTCGCGAGGAGCCGCAATAAACCCACATTGTGCCACAATGGGGTTGCAAGGCAAAGCCAATGCAATTGGCAACAACTGGCTCGTGAAGAGCCGCAACTAGCGAAGCAAGTGACCAGTTAGGAGCGATAGAGGTAAATGTTCCCTAGTACCATTAGCAAGATGATAAGATGGGAGGGATGGAGGGTGAAAATTTGAGGCTGGCACAAGCTAAAAGTCACCACTAATTAGACTAGTCTTTGAAGTGAAGCCAACAGCAAGAAAGAAAGAGAAAGTTCAAAGGAAGCAGTTGTACGATGTCAGGCTAAGCGCGCCCGAATCCATGCGCTGGCAGTGTGAGTGCAGTGAGCAAAAGTTCAAAGGAAGCAGCTGTGTGACGTCAGGCTAAGCGTGCCCAAATCTATGCGCTGGCAGTGTGAGTGCAGTGCGCAATGCACTGATGCAGCGGTGCGCAGCAGATGCAAACATGGCAGTGTGATCGGTGGATGCTAACACATACTAACTACATTACTGCGACATTAAAAGCATGTCCGTGTAGGTGGCGGGGGGGGGGGGGTGCCACTTTCGCTTATGCCATTCAGGATTGATGTCTGAAGAGTAATACGATACAATGAAATGACAGAAGTGACATCAACAAAAGCCGTTAGCAACAATACCAATAGGACTAATGGAAAACTTATCCAAAGTATAAAATAAAATAGAATATGCATACAACATGTCTGGCGGAATCACGTGGATCACGAGAATCAGTCCTGTTAGGTGGGGCGGGCTCCACGCCATGCCTGTCGGTCCGCTGCCATTGTGCGGACTGCGACAGCATCTATCGGCTGGTGGAGGGTAAGTCCATGCCATGATGACAGTTCTGTCTGCAAGACCGTTACCAAAGTCGTCACTTAAACCTGGTTTTACTGTAGTTCGAGTTTTGTTTCGCGTTTTCTTCAAATGTTGCGTTCAAACCTGCGAACGTTCGCATGAAGTTTCCCTTTTCGTGAGGTCAAACGAAAATTCGCACAAACGTTTGCTTTGTAAGCCTCTGTAACAATGGGCGGGCTCGATTGCACACATTTCCGTCAATTCTACTGCAGCAGACATAGAAACATAGAAATGCAGTCAATTGACCGGAGCCGGTGCACTCAGCGCATACAGAACGCTGTGTGCAGTGCACATGCTGATCCGCTACGACCAGCGCGCTGCAGCGCATAAATGCATGTGTGTACCGCTTATCCACGGCTGCATGGTCAGTGGTCTGGGGCCACTAGACATGCGACCGGATTTCCATGTCCACGACAGTCGAATTATTTATGGTGGATGCGCCGTTCAGTTACACAAAATCTGTCGTCAATTGCAATTCCGTCAATTTGGTCAATTCTGAAGATAGGGCCGAATTGCGACATGTAATTCCAGAATTGCTAATTCCAGAATTGACGCACTCGACGTAAACCCCGTGCTAGGTCCACGTGCGCGCGAGGGTGCACGGGCTCCCACGTGATCCCCTTTTACGATTTATGTCACTGTAGTCGTTTGTCTACATGGCCGCAATGCGTTCATTCTGTTCATTTGAGAATTATAAAACCTGGGTCCAAACATGTAGTCGAAAGTGCCCAATGACTAGCACGTTGTGCTATTCTGTTGTCCACTGTATCACCATATCAGACACCAATGAATGTACAGCAAAAACACATGGTTGTCATGTCAACGCTCAATGTAACAATACCATTGGTTCATATGCATGTGTATGTACAACTGGTTACCAGGGAAATGAAACGCATTGCACAGGTAAGTCATAATGTTATGAATCGGCACACTTAATGGGGAAGTTCAGAGAAAAATTTAAATTTCAGGACCCGGAGAGTTTGGGTCGCTGAGTTCAATGTTGTTGGTCCGACCTGCCTTCAACAAAGCGTTCTTGAGATATTTCCGTTCGAAAAACTAAGTATGGGGGGGGGGGGTTGCGCCCATGACGTCATGCAGCCGCCCCACACAATCTGCAATGCCATAGCATGCAGCCAGGTCAAAGGGACTGCAGGAAATCAATAGTGTCAATGCTATTTCAAATGATTTGACGACCGATAGTAGTCGGTGCAAGCGGCCACGAAGACATAACTCTGTGTGAGAGTGAAGATGCAGCCATGGCTGACCTTCATGAGTTCGGTCTGGGCTGAGAACTCCGGTGTTCTGCTGAAGAAATGGCCGAGCGGGCTGGTCAAGAGTGAGCCCTGCAGCGTTTGCGACTGATGAAGAAGCAGCAGCGGCGAGGCTGATATGATTATCAGATATCTGGAGAGTAGAGTCGGCGAAATGGAGAAGACTGATGGGAGTGCTCTAAAAGCTGTTCCATAACGACTCCAGTAGTCTGCCATATAGTGATTTTTGGTGTCAGCATGGCATATTTTGGACGCTGCTCTTTTGGAGAACAATGCAGGCTCTTTGAACCACGGCCACAACTCTTCGGTTCAAGGTTCACAACACTACGGGATCTGAACATTTTAGGTCCGGGAGCTGTTCGTTGTATTGTCACTTGTCACGGTTGTTGACTCATCGTTGTAGCATAAATGAATCTGCACTATTTCATGCCGAAAACGTTCTTTCCCAAAGCACAACCACCGGCACCGGCAAGAAGAAATGCACCTTCCCTGATTGTACGAACGACTGATACGAGCATGACAAGTCTGTGTTTTGCAGTGCAGGGAGTGGATTGGAGGGTGGTGGTTGGGTGACTGGCTGGGGGTGTGGCTGGGGGTGTGCCTGAGCGCGTATAGCTGTGACTGTGAAACTGTATGAGAATGGGAAGTGCGGGACTGCTGGTTGCGCATCTGCGATAGTAGTTGTATGTTTAAGCAGAGAGGTGGTTGTGCGCTAGAAACATTTGTTTGCATTGAGTGATTGGTATTCATTCATGCATGAATGTCAGTGATGAATTCATCTTATCGGCCCTTTTGTCTGCTTGAACTGTTGCATTCTGACTTTCAGCAACAGACGCCAACGCAAGTCGCTCGAATACCTACCTAACTCTGGGTCTTTCTCTCAGTCTTGTTGCTGTGCTGGTAGTGGCTTTGTTTACTTTTTTCATTCGTTTTCAAAACAATAAGCTGCGAGGAATACACGGAATATCCAGCAGGTCTGGACGTACACATGGAAAATGTAAGTATTAAATTCCGAATTTTGAAAAGATAGACCAAAGGTCGGTCAAAACTCTCCGAGTCTAATTTGGATACTGCTCACAGTTCTCTGTGTGTGTGTGTGTGTGTGTGTGTGTGTGTGTGTGTGTGCGTGTGTGTGTGTGTGTGTGTGTGTTTGTGTGTGTGTGTGTGTGTGTGTGTATGTATTTGAAATCTTTTATTCCCACGATGGCCTGTGGCCAATAAGAGAAAAATAATTACAGGCACGGGGAACAGATACAGAGAGATCAAAGTTTAGCTGCTTGCTGAGGCAGTAGCGATGGCAATAGGGAGTTTATCACATCGGCTGGGCGCAATGGAGCTATAGATGTGCTGAGCAATGTGAGCAAGTACATACAGAAGAGATGACAAGTGGTAGGATGTTTTCTTTGAAATCTCGTCTGGGGTTGATTTGCCGGAGGCTGAGTGGAATACTATTAAAGAGATCAAGAGAAGCATAGAGGGGGGAGTCCCTTAGCCGTGTTGTTGTTGTTGTTTATTTTACTTCACCAAATGAACAGGCAGAGATGCCTTCTCACCTGCCCATAGCACAGGTTCCCACAGAATGATGAAGGGATGACATGCAAGGGAAAACAAGAAATGATAATAATATGAGGCATCGGCAGCAAGAACCGGGGTCCTGGCAATTTTTCAAAATGCCAATATTTGCGAAAAACCATACCGATGTCGTTTTTTAATCACCGCGATCAAAGCGGAAAGACTTCTTGGGCTATCGCTTTGACAGTGCTTTCCTCTTGGTGGCTTCACTATAATTTGTTGTCATTGCAGTTGTAGTTTATCCGCCAAGCACTTGGGACGTCCAGGTAGGCGTTTTCAGTCATCATGGAGGCGTTTGCGCTCTGGGTAGCGTCTGCAAATCATGCGCTCAAAAGAGAGCAGAACAAAATAATGTCTTGGCGGAACGATCCCGTCACAAATTCTTGGTGGAGCACGAGCGACTAGAATATTTGACAGCTGGATCTCTAGAGATACTCAGCTGCCTGTGATAGTCTCCCGCAAGAAGAAATCAGGTGAAAGTGAAGAGGTTTCGCTCAGATGACAAGCCATCAGCGGAGGCAGCGCAGACGATGAGTTTGAGAGCTCCGTGACACGAAGTGGGGACGTGGACAGCAGTGATGAGAGTGACGAACGAGATTCAGTACTCTGTGGCGACTATTCGCAGCTAGATAAGGAGATACGGAGACAGCCCTGAATGAACTAAACCTTACTTGATAGAATACAATTGTTGCAAGTATACATGCACGCTTGCGGTGCGCATGGAATTTGTCACAGTATAATGCATGTATCTATGAGCTGCTGTGCGTAGGAGAGCAAAACATGCTTGGTGGATGTATCTGGCTTGGCCCAGCATGCATATCTAGTCGTGAACTAAGTTGTAGATTCTTCCCAGCCATGTAAAATGTCAGTTGCTTGTCTTCTTTCTGTCTGACAAGTTTGCATACAACACCAGACCTGCGCATGACAGGGATTGAGTTTTCAAGTAACATGGCAGCAAGTGCAGGGAACAATGTTAGTATATTATCAACTAGAGTACTCTGTGCTTCCCTGAAGACCTATAAATATGCTAAATTATTCTCAGCCACTCCATTAGAGCTAGCTGTAACTGCGTTCCATGTTGCCCTTTTGCTGACCATTTTTGTCGACCTTCACCCATCATTTCGGGCGTTCTTTTTACCATCTTGGAAGGTGCCCAGAGCTCCAAAATTTGGCCCATAGATCACTCATTTAGTGGACAGTTCAAAGCCATCAAAAACTCTTTTTCAGTAAATATCACCTAACCCTAGTTTTTGCTGCCCATGCCTCATATACGACAGAAAGGACCAAAAGAAGAAAATAAAAGTTTAATGAGGATATTCACAAAGTAAGTATATCAATGGCAGAAAGAGCTTTCCGGAAGGGACCAGGGACACCTATCACTCTAAAATCAGAGGGGAGAGCGTTCCAGAGAATGCTTCCCCGAAACATCATGGTTGATCGTCCGGCAAGAAAGGGAACTTGAAGCTAGTTCGACACTTGTCCCCGTGTGGTGCGCTGCTCCTCCGGAACAGTCTCTGTGGCCGTTCGGGTGAATAATGGTTGAAGAAGGGGGCTACAGGAGGAGTTAATGCATCGATGATCAAATACGACAATTTTGTGTGTATATGTATGTGGTAGACTAACAATGCTGAGCAGAGAGAGCAGCGGGGCAGTTGGAGTCAAGAGCCGCTGTTGCAAGGTGGCACGGATGCCAGCCTTGAACATCTTTTCAAGCTGACCAAGCAGGTGTGCGCTAAGTCCTGAAAAGAAATTGTTTGAACCATAACACAGCTGGGAAAGGATCATGCTGAGGAACCACGTTCGCCGGGCAAGCAAACTCAGTCCTCGTCCATGCCTCCAGAGCTGACCAATTGTACGCACTGTCTTGCGACCAATATACTCCACATGTGGAGCCCAGGATAAATCATTATCCAGGGCTAAACCAAGGTACTGGGCTGTAGAGGTCACACGAAGTTTCTCGCCGGTTGAATTGCAGCCGGGCCTCGTCGCCGGATGAAGAGCAACTGTGTCTTGGAAGAGTTGAGGAGCAGGCCAATGTCCTCCAGCCAGGTGGCAATGTTTGTCATGGCTTGCGTGAGGGTTCTGCACACTACAGCAGGATCAGAATGGGAGCAGTCGATGACAATGTCATCTGTGTTAGTGCTGTACAGACGGTGGCAGTATGGTGTGGAGTTCACTAGTGTAGAGCACAAAAAACAGTGGCCCAAGAACCCTACCTTGCGGAACACCACGGGAGCAACTGACGGCCTCACTAACAGAGTCCAGAACTTTGACACTCTGGAAACGCCCTGAGAGGTAGTCAGTGAACCATTCCAATGCAGTTCCAGCTATACCAAGGGAAAACAAAACTGTAACTAGACGTTCTTGCTTAACCCTTTGAGGTGCCACTGAACGCGTGAAAATGCGCAATTGCAGTTCACTCCACCATTTCCACCATAACTTACGTTCTGTTTGCTTGATTTTGACAGTCTAGGGCTCTTTGAAACGCTCTTTCCGCTGCCAAGAGAATGAGGCCACGCTCAACACCGTGGGTGCCACAAAGCCTGCTCCAGAGCGCAGGGAATCGCCATAGGTCGGGCCTCGTGTTGAAAGAAATACTTCTAAATTTCATCCCAATGCCATTTCGCTGTCGTTTCTTGCACAGCTCTGGATTTTTTTGCATCTCAATCAGTAGTTTCGACGTCATTACACCCACACGTCATCAGCTGGCTGCACACCACGTGATCCACGGGAAATCCCCGAAGCACGAGGCAAAAAAATGATTTTGAGACGTTTGAACAATTTAGTGCCGCGATCCAACTTTCGAGCGCCATATCTTTATCATCGTTTCTCCTATCGCAAAAGCGATTACACCATTGGAAAGCTTGGAGCTTCCTCTTTGATCTACATATTTCGATATTTGCAACAGGACTAAAATCGATGGAGTTACGACAGTTTTACGGTACGTACACAATATCAGTCGTTAATGACTGATGCACCGCTAAGGGTTAAAGGGGAAGTTAAGGCAAAAATTAAAATTTCACCAGTTGTAGTCTTCGGGGTGCTGAGTCGAATGGTCTTGGTCCGAGGAAGCTGAGACGCTCCCTTCCTACTTGAATCCCAATCGAACTCGCGCACTTCCACCGAAACTGGGTGACTGCGCCCTACTAGATGGGGATTTGTATGCAAAATTTCACTAAAAGCGCCATTTCGTTCTTATAAAAGCACGGATGACCGCGATTGGCCCGTATGTTGTAGTCTTTTGGACGCTGAGTCGACTGGTTTTGGTCCGAAAAAGCTGCGATGCAGCGTTCCTCCTTTATTCCCAATCGAACATGGTTGAACAAGCGGTCACGTGCTCCTGGGTGCCCAAATCACCTGGTCACCACGCCAGCAGGCGACAACTTTCACACCAAGGTTCAACTCGAGTTCAACTCGAGTGACAGGACTGCACCCAAAAAAGGTCAAACAGGCTAGTGAGTTGTACCCTGCAGGCACGGTGACCAGGTGACTGGCGTACGCAGGAGCACGTGACCGCTTGTTCAAATCATGTTCGATTGGGAATAAAGGAGGAACGCTGCATCGCAGCCTTTTCGGACCAAAGCCAATCGACTCAGCGTCCAAAAGGCTACAACATATGGGCCAATCGCGGTCATCCATGCTTTTATAAGAACGAAATGGCGCTTTTTGTGACATTTTGCATACAAATCCCCATCTAGTAGGGCGCAGTCACCCAGTTTCGGTGGAAGTGCGCGAGTTCGATTGGGATTCAAGTAGGAAGGGAGCGTCTCAGCTTCCTCGGACCACGACCATTCGACTCAGCACCCCGAAGACTACAACTGGTGAAATTTAAATTTTTGCCTTAACTTCCCCTTTAACACGGTTGAAAGCTTTCGACATATCAACAAACACTGTCCCAGTTAATGCATCTAGCGGTGGACCATCGATTAACAGCTAACACAAGTGCATCCTCAGTTGAATGTTGCTTGCGATAAGCAAACTGGCTGTCGGGCAATAGCTGGTGTGTCTCCAGATAGGCAGTGAGCTGTCTCTTAACCATTGTCTCCAGAATAAGGGGGATAATGGGGAAGAGAGACACTGGACGATAGTTCTGGGGCAGGGTTGGGCCGCCACTCTTAAACAGGCAACTGACATGTGACCTTTGAAGGTTGGCGGAACCTGTCCAGTTCTAAGAGAAAAATTTATAATGCTGGTGAGATTCGGTGCAAGAACAGAGGCATGTTGCTTGAGCAGGAAACCGGGAATCCTATCACTGCCCGTGGCTTTGCTTGCATCCACTGATGTCAGGCATGACTCGACATCTGTCACTGTGACAGGCTGGAATACATTTAAGCTGCATTGGAGGCTTGAGCCCGACGGCAGCTGGAGGTGGGGTGGACGTGTTGGATCATTCACTACTCCGCCAAACTCTCGACTTAGCTCTGG